CTCCCCCTTCTTCCTAGTCTTCCCACTTTATTCCTTCTTCTGTCTCTTCTATGCCTCCAGCTTCCCCTCACATTCTAGTCCCACTCACATTCCCTGTCCTGCTCCTTTATATAACATCAACAGTGAGCGCAAATATCGTAAGAAGCTGCCACTAGTTTTGTTCTTGAAATAAACTTTTGCACATTGCCATTTATTTCTATGACATTGGGCAAAATACTGGACTTCCATTTGCTTCAGTTTTCTTCTTCTGTAAGATGGGGACACCTAGGCCATAATTATTGTGAAGATTCAATCCAGGTATTTGTGAAAAGACTCAGGGCAGTGCCTAGCACATGGCAAACGTTCTACAAGCTTTATATATATTTTCTAGCTGTCATGATCTCCTGTTCCTGTTATTATTAGAATGTCTATTATTTGACTCCAGTTTTTACTACTAGAGATTTTTTTTCATATGAATTATTGAGTAATATTTAAGGTAGGTTAGTCTTCTGAAAAAAAGTAAGTGAATTTTTCATGTATTTTCTCTGGTAAGATTTTAATAGTTAAAAGCTTTAAAACTCCCTATATAAAGTTGAGTTTACTTTTCCAGGAAGGAGACACGATCTTTGTGGGGGAAAGGTGTTCGTGGAGAAACGTTGCTAACAACACAGTCAGTTGGAATTGGCTTGACTAAAATACTTAGGACTTTTGTACCTTGGTTAAAGTATTGATAACTTGAAATTGACAATGATGTGAGGCTTTACACCATGGAAACTGGTAAATGCCACAGATCATGGTGCATTTACTAGCGTATCATTGTACAATTTTGCTGAAGACCAGAAGAATCGTTATGAAGTTTCATGAAGTGACAAACCACGTTGCTGTGAATTTCAATGTATCATGGAGGTAAATGGTGCCCACAGGATTTAACAATTACTATATAGATTGGAAGTCACTAGACTAATTACTCTGTAACCTGAGTGTTAGCGCCATCATTAGGCATCAGAGGAAGGTCCCTTTGTATATTTTGTTCTGGTTCCTTTGTATGTTTATGTGTGTTTTGACTGATTAATAACCACATGAATTTCTGTAACTGTTTTGTAAAATTAAAGTACTGCTTTCCAGTAAAAAGGGAATATATATTTAAAAGAAAAATTTCCCCCCAATTTTAGAACCAAGTTAGTGCAAACTCAGAATTTAGGATAATTCTTCATTTTTACCCACAGCATCCCAACGGGAAGATCTTATCAGGCTTTGGACACTTGTTCTGATAATGAGTTATAATTCCACTATTGAAAAACTATCTCATAAATTGCTTAACTGGTTGCTCGGCTTTTTTTTTTTTTTCACTTACCTAGTGAAAAAAAGAAACCCACATGTAACATCTTCTTAAAACTGACTAGTTAGTGGGTTCCACTTCCTGTTGTGAGGAGTAAAATGTATCTTAAACTCACTGAAGTTCTGAAGATTGTTTTCATTCTCTCATCTAAACCAATTTAGGTTTCAAATTCACATATTTGAGGTGAAACTGAAACTCCCTAAAATTTGTTATTTCTATAATATGTGCTCTGTTTCTGGTTGGGGGAAAACAGTTTTAACAGTTAATACAGATTTTATAATAATTTGCCTTAGGGGAAGTATTGTCAGAGGAGAGTGTCCTCAATGACTAAACTCCTTTACCCCCATTTAAAAAAGGTCTAAATTCTTTCTTGGTGTTGAGTGTTCACTCTCTTTGAGGTATTGTCCTACTTGCAACTCCCGATCTCACCCAGCCCAGACACAAGATTCTAGCAAACACCAAGGGCTGGTCTTGGGCAAAATTGAGGTAAAACCTATAGATTCATTTGGGCGTTCTCTAGAGCCGGCCCTAGGGTTGGATGGATGAGTTGGAGAGTTCCCAGTCCCATTTGGGGCTCAAAATGGGTGGATGGAGGAGATTCACTAGTGCTCAGTCAGGAGAGATGGACCCAATGGTGCCCGCCTTTACAGACTCTACAGTTGTCTTCTTGTGACTTTCCCATGCTTTGTTCTTCTTAGAGCTGCTCTTTTTCTATGAACTAAATGTGACTGACCTTGGTCATCTGGGGCCAGAACCTTCTAGGAAAGCCTCTGTTCCCACGTCTAAATTTACCTACTCTCTCCTTTGTCTTTAGTCCTGACTCACCTAAGTTTTAACTATTCAAATGATACACATATTTGGGCTAATATATATAT